AACGGATAGAGGCCGCCCTGTGCGCGATGCGCGTGTTCCCTTTGATCGAGGCGCACGAGAGAGAGAGAGAGAGAAAGAAAGAATCGAAAAATAAGAAAAAAAAAGCGATTTAACAAGCGCTATCGAGAGTCGAACCATTAAATCGGATTTGAATCGAGATCAAAGCACCATGAATAGTCGCTCTTTTCTTAATTTCTCGCAAGTTAATTTTCTTGGAAACAAAAATTCTTTTTTATCGACTGAGAAACGTCTGGTTGAAAAACAACAAGCACATGGCACGTATAAGAATACTCAACGTTGAAAGGGTTAAGTTATAACGAGTTAAACTCTTGTTTTCATCAGACCTTGCTTGCGTCAATTTTATCTCGTTGATAAAAGCGGGAGACTATTATCAGAGAGACTAAAGTATACGCACGCTGAAAGAATTCGAATATACGATACGAGATCGTATACGCTTTCGAAAAATTTCTTTACCGATTTAAGATTATGAAAAAGTTTCGAACGAACAGATCGATTGAAATGTTTCGCAAAATGGAGAATTATATTATCCACTACTCGACTCAACGTTTGCCCACGCGTCAGGATGTGCTAAGATCCTATTCTTTCCGACGAGCTTCCGGGCACAGGAAGTCTCGCTTCCCACAGGGTTTGTACAGACCAGTCAAGAAACTTGAATATCCATTAAGATCGCGCGGTAACGTTAGCCACGTTAGGCTCGAAGAAGAATCTGGTCTTGCTATCGTGTGACCACCACCCGACCTCGTGTATCCGCGCGCCAATACGCACATTACGTCCCTCTTCGAAACAGGATTACTTCCAACTCTGTTTCCCTTTCTAAACACGTTCTAGATTCCGTCAATTTCCCGTCTCGTCAATGAAACGCATTGTACGATTTATCAACACCGATAAACAAGCGGATTTCCGCCAACATAATAAACACACTCTTCAGAGAAATTTCAAGTTAAAAACTCGTTCATTCGCACGAATCGAGACAAAGAGGCGAGATATCTGTTTGGAAATTTCTCAAAAAACGGATCTCTAATTCATTTACAATCGATCCTCGCACCATCCTCTATCTCTCAATCCCGAAACATCCAAAATCCTAAAACTTACTATTCTATTATAATTTTAAATTAAAAAAATTTTCTTCACGGTCACTTAAGAATATCCGTTAAGAAATGTGCGAATATCGAGACACTTCCGGTTTTTATTCAAACGTCTTCTTCGAGCAAAAAGCGACTTCCCGCTCAACGGTCGCTCGCTCGTTCAGTCTCTCCTCCCGAGAACCATTCGTCACTGCTTTTCATTGAGAAGCATCGGCTGCGCGATAGGCTGCCTCGAGGATGCATCGATCCGTCGAATCCGTGTATCAACGATGCACAATAACCCCCACCCTCCCTTGTCCCTTCGTAACTTATTCAGAAGATTCGATTCGAGAATTAGTTGGTCGGTTTACACGGTGAGAGCGCGTCTTCTCCCGCACCTCGCTCTCGACCGGAGATAACTAGCTCGTTCTCACGGAATTGGAAGTCGCGTTCGTCGTAGGATTGTTGGGATTGTCCCTCCTGGATGGCGAAGGGAGAGCCGCGGCGACCGAGTTTGCGCGCCGCCCGACTTTCTCCCATTCGATGAATCGCTCTCACTTTCGTTCGGGGTCGCGCCAACTGACACTGGGCGAACAAGAGCAGTATCGACGACCGCGGAGGAGAAGGAGGGGGAGGAGGGAGCGCGACGGTTAAAACGGTGGAAGAGCCGCGGGAATACGCAAGTCGCGCAAGCGCCGCGAGACGCGTCCAGCTCTCTGCCTCTTGCCCTTCGCTTTCACTCTCTCGTCACGGAAACAATCCATCCTTTTTTCTTTCTTCCTTCCTTTCTTTCTTTCTTCTCCCTTCTCCTCTCGACTTACACTCCCCGGAATATACGGCCCTCTCAGCCTCTGAATTCTCCATTCTCCTGCTCTCCTATTATTATTCGTGAACAATTTTGTGAACAACGAATTACTACCTGATCTATTCTCTCTCTTCCCCCTTCCTGTCCCTTCTCCTCCCCCCCCCCCCCGTTTTACGATTATTGGAGGTTAAAAGTTTCGGATATAATGGAGAAAGGATGTGGAAGGACATTGCTCGGAGGGCAATGAACAAAATTCGAAGAGGCTGAAAGTAAATACGAAAAGTCGGAGAAGATCAAAGATTTTGGAGAAAGGGAGATGAGAAAAGCTTGTAAATTAATATATAAATAAGCATCATATTTCTCTTACATTTACTTTGGGCCTATGCATTGTTTGAAATCGACACAAAGATGCGGCGCAGATATTATTGATATCTCTCTAGTTGTTAACGCCTCTGAAATAAATGGAAAATTTAAAGCTCGATTCAGCTTGACATTTTTCCTCTTCCCTTTATAAGAATTATTTCCTCAGTATTCTACCTGCCATATTTTTCCTCCGAATTATCTTATACCGAACAGCTCGCCTTTTCAACCGAGCCTCCGAGGATAAACGAGCCATCCACGAGGAAGGCACGAGAAATCGAAATCCGACTTTAGACACCACTTTCATCTTTTGGATTGGCCAAAAGAGTCGACCTTGTACCTCGCGAAAATCGATGCAAGATAGCGGAAAGCGTTGCACGGTTACAGCCCTCCCTCCCCTCTTTTATTCCCAAGGACGGTATTCGAAAATTTCACGAGCCCTTTCCTCAAAACCCACACTTTCTTTCTTTCTTTCTTTCTTTCTTTCTTTTCATTCCAACGAAACGAAGCGAAACTCTCACTTCTCGAAGCGAAGCGTAGAAAAAAGAGAGCTGGTCGTCCTTTCGTTTCGGTTAAAGAAAAAGAAAAAAAAATGTCAAGCCTCGGGCCTGACACTCGTACACCGCACGTTTCATAATTACGATAGCTCAGCGTTGCGAAACGCGTATTGGCGCGTGAAAAAAATTTGGCACGTTCCGATTCGTACACAACGTTTTGGCCGCAACGACCATCTATGCAATAAACCGTCGTCGAGTTATCTTGTTCGGCTCGAAACGAGGGGGGGGGGGGAGAAGAGGAGGGAGAACCCTTATACCGTTTATCTTCGCTCGTTTCCCTTCCTCGGGATATAACCTTATAACCGCATCGATTTCGAATTTTCCCCACGACGATAAACCGAAATCGATCCCCGTAAGGGAGCAATAAACTAAATCCGGAAGATTCAGTGACGGAGGAAGAAGAGGGGGAAGAGAAAAGAAAAAAAAAAAAAAAAAGAAAAGGATCCAAAAGGAAAATTCGAAAGAGGAAATACGAAATCTAGCAACCCTCGGATCGACTAAACTAAAGGAGGATCCCTAAACTCCTTTAGGGACAAGGGACAAAGAGGGATGTCGGGGATCTTTTTTTTTTTTTTTTTTATGTGGGGCAAGAGATTCCGCTTGCTCGACGATCATCTTGCTTACTCTTTCCGAGGGTTGGACCCTTTTGGACGCGTGTTACGCAAGAAGTGGGGGGCCGAGAGGAGGGGATGGCATCGACTCGAAATTACCGCGGGAATGAAGACGGGATGGAAGAAACGGTAACAGTTTTATTTGTTTCCCGATGACTGAATACCGCGGCGCGCCTGTTTGTTTGACCGGTTGAATAGAGTTTAATAGTACTCCTACTCTTTTTACTTCGTATTACCGATTGATGATAATTGATCAAAATTGTTTTTACCGTTTAACTTTTACCGTTTGAATGTAATCAACACGCTTCGCGATTCTCGGATTGGGTGCATTAACATCTTCTTAAATGTAAATAAATTATTCATAAGCGTGCGAATACTATTGCTATTTTTCACAGAACGATGAACGTAAGATGTAAATTAAATTCTTTATAAAAGTGTATCTACGTTGAGAGAATTTCTAATGAAATTTCTAATGAAATTAATAGCCAAAATGATCGAGATATATCAACAGCTATATACTAAGTATTCTTTGTAATGTGATAAAAAAATATATAAATATATATATGCGTGAAAATTAATGAAATTCCACAAGTAATTTTTTCTTGGACAATTGTTCCAATCGAGGAGACGTCCTCGCCCTACGTACACGGACAAGTTCATTGCTAGCTCACAGGCACACATTGCGTCATAATTATTATCGTTGACTAGCTAATATCGCTCTTCTACGTTTCGCGGAAAAACATGTAATTTGCTGCGCTACTAGAATTCGCTCTAGACACGTAGCATGTGCGTTTAAACGCGACACACGCGTTTCAGATGTCTGAAGACCTGACGCAAGTTCCGGAGATACTCGTATTGCTAAATGTTGCGTCAGTTGTGCCCCATAGCACAAGGAGCTAAAACGAGAAATGGAGGGTAGATTCGATGGGGTAGAATCTTGCCGACTTTGGCAAGATAAATCCGCCTCGTAAAACGCGGAAAAGGCGGTGCTAGTCAGAAGTATCTTCCGAAGGGAGGGAAAAGGAGAGAAAGAGAGAAAGAGAGAGAGAGAAGAGAGAGAAACGGGCATTGGATTCTAATCGATAAGAGGGATCTGCATGCAAGCGTAAAAAAAAAACATGAAGAGCACTTACCTTGCGTGATTAGCGGCGGTAATCGTTTAGTTTAGCTAAAAAGAGTTCGGTGAACGAAAAATAGGTGTCGTGTAATCTGATGGAGGGGATAAATAAACTAAAGGCGTTTTCGAAGCCTTCCTTTCGCTAAGGAAATATACGCGATATTTGTTTTGTTATGTTATACGAAGGGAGGGGGATATTTGAGAAGAAAGATATCGAGCTGGTTTTTTTTTTTCTCGATCGAGGGACAGATCGTAAAATTTAAGTTTTATCCCTCCACCTTTAAAAGTATAGTCTCGAATTCACTGAAACTCTCTCGTGTTTTAAAGATCAAAAGATGCAAAAAATTAATCATGCGTAGAATAATTATATAGCATGCACAGAAATAAGCAGGAAATGGAAGATACTCCGTAACACACGCTCATGCAGGGGGACGTGAAACGTGATTAAAGATAGATTGATCCTACCTTAGAATGTAATTTACACACACGACGGACAATGGTTTTTGCTGCTTGGAACAGTGAATTAGAGTGGCTTGTGTCACGACCCAAGCGTATCCTCCACGTTTCCCGAGAAATCTGTAGGCGACCGTCTCGCATTGACCCTTGCTGAACACTGAAACAGCGCGAAACAGATTTGAATCAGATTCAACGCGGCCAAAGATTCTTAACGCTCGACGGGATTTCGAGGGGTTTTATAGTCGTCGTATCGATACTGCGCACGCAACGTGGATGACGAAAGATTCGCACAGGAATTACCAATCTCTCGCGCGTAATCGGGTGAAATTTTAATCGTGAAATTTTAATCGGGGCGGGGCAATTGTGGAATCGAATTATCGTTGAAAACGCGACACGCATCATTATCGATATCCTCTGAATCGCTAGCGAAAGTTTTCTCTTATCAAAGTTTTCGCTATTCGTTTTAGTGGAATAAAACGAGATTATTCTACCGTGAATTTTTATATCGTTCGTTCCGAGCCAGCTTATCGAGGATGATGCGTGCGGACGGAGAAGGTTCTTCGAAGCTTCCCTTATCGCGATCCGCAGGAGGAATGGAACGCGCGTGGCGCTGGTCCCTTCTCGTAAATCGAGAGATGGAAAGAGAGATTACATTCGATCACGAAATGGACCACGTATCTGTGGCATGAGACGGTATAAAAACTTGGCATGGATCTATAAAGAAAATTTGTAACTATTTAATTAAAAAAAAAAAAAAAAGGAAGAAAGAAAGAAAGAAAGAAAGAAAAATAACGGAAGCGATAAAAAAAATATTTGCTCATAAAATTCTTGTTAATAAATTGCTGCTCTTGAAATCTTTTATAATGTCGTTCACCCGACATAAAGATCGTACAATTCCTCTCGTCTAAACGCCTACAACTCATCTTTCTTTTTTTCTTTCGTCGCAGCTACGTCGATCGATACCATCTCTCACGTATCAGATGAGAAGGGATCAGAAGTGATTCCGCTCGAAACGAGGTCACGTGTTTCAAGATTTTACGATCCTAATGAGCTCAGAAAAAAATTTCCCTTATTAGTTTTTAAATCGTTAAAAAAAAAAAAAAAAAAAAAAAAAGCTTTTGAATCAACAGTCAGTAAAGCGTTTACACGCACACGCGAATGAAACATTAGCTCGCTCGCTAACTAAAATAGCGAACGAGCCGTGAACGTTCGCGTTTATTCAAATGACCGTCAATTGGCTTTTACTCACGTGATTTAAAAGATTTATCCAGAGCCAAATTGTCGAGGGCGTGATAGAACTCGAAAACGGATTGTCCCACTAACTCCTCGCTGTTCCAACCCAGATATTCGGCCAATCTAACGTATGGATAACGGAAAACATTATTTTTTTTTTTTTTTTTTTTTCCCCCAACATTTATCTCATTTTACGCACAACTTTCACGATCTGCGTGAAATGTACTCACTTTTCGTCGGCGTACGTGAACTTCATGCTGAGGCTATGCTTGGAGAGGAAAGTGTGACGTCCCAACGGTATCTCAATGTTGCTAGGGTGCGGTATGGGACATCCCAAGAGAACCAACGATGCTCCGGTGTCCCGTTCGTTCCCCTCCTCGTCCTTTTTATTTTTCGTGTCGTCGTCCTCCGACGAATTCAATATCGGATCGCGGATATACGTTAATCTACCGGTACAATGAATCACCTGTCGTGGACAAAAAAAAGAAAAAAAAAAAAGAAAAAAAAGCATTGCATAATAATTAACCGGAACATTGTTGTTTTTCTCTTCCTTTATTTATTCCCGTGGCTGACGAACCACGTTGAAAAAGTTTCTACCTTGTAGGAAGCGCTTTTCAGATTGACCTTCCTTCCTTTGCTGGTCAACGTACACTTAAGCCGTAAGAAAAAACTGCAAGCACGTTTTTCGCTGTTCTCGAGTACAGGTTTCGAGGACAGGCATTCCCGCAATTCTTCGTGATCGCACGGATGGCTGTATTCGTACACGCTTTGACCCATCATATCCATCTGAAACGAGCACGAACGGAATCGTTAATCAAAGGT